AACCATATGTGTAGGAAACATTTTTCAACCTAGTCTGCGACCGCGAAAGAGCATTTTTATGTCTCGTTGAAGTGCCGATTAAATTTATATTATAGATAATGAAATAGTATATTAACAAGCGGTAACAAGTGAGCATCTAAGGTGACTAGTAAACATAATATCAAACTTCTGGCTAATATTTTAGTGTTTTCATAATATCTGGCCTAAAACAATCCATAGCAATATGACCTCTTAAATTATTGAATTTATTTTTCAGTTCTAGTGGGGGATAGTCGAAATTTGGATTTTTCTATGTGTAATTTTGTCGATAAAACTTTTCATTAAATCGAAAATATTTTCGAAGCGAATACAATTTCGGCACTCGTGCACATATGTGAGCACAATATGTCCCAATAAATGACTAGTATAAGTGATGAATTTAGCATAAATTGCGGTGTACCTCGTGGTATGTTACTTGGTCCCATTTTATTGATTATACATTATATTAACAGTGCAACATGCATTATGGAAATCTATGGTACCTAACACGTGTCAATTGTTTTCTGACAAAACATAGCATAGCATGTACATATTATATTTATTCAAAAACTTAATAAAAAAAAAAAGATGTACAATTAATTGTGATAATTATCATAGTAGGTAGTTGTAAATTAGTATTCGATAAAATATCGAAAATATCGAATGTCGAATTTTGATGATTCGTTATACTTTCGAATTTTGAATAATATTATAAAATGTAGGTATACCAAAAAGGGTACAAAAAAAAAAATGATAAATTCAAACGTTGACAATTTTATACACATATATTATTTTGTCGTTGGATAGAAATATTTTTCTGATTACAATTTGTTGGTCGATTTTGAATATCCGTCGATGGCAGTTTGTACTGATAAATGATTTATAGCGCACAAGTGTCGAAAACGTATGTGTTTTGAAAATATTTTCAATACATCATTGTCTTAGCATTTTAGCAAAAAGTTTTAACGACCTATTGCACATAGAAAAAACCCAAATTTCGCAGAACCCCTTCCTCCCCTCCCCCTCCACCCGCTCGGCAAAGTGGCTATAAGTTTTTTGGTTTTTAACATTTTTTTATATTTTTTTACGCAATTTTATGATTTAAGAGCTGAAACAAGTTGTAAAATTTCAACCTTTACTGGCTTGAACTTTGAAATGTTTAAGGAATATTGTTTTTGGCATGGCTAAATTTAAATTCTGGGACACCCTTTACTCTTAGCGAGAGGCCCTTTTACCCAAAAATCTTGTTTCGCTTTGTCGTAAAGGCTTTCTTCCGGGTCACGAGAGAAGACTTTGGCTAAATTGTTTTTTTAATAAATTGTCATCAATAACGTTTTATCTAGTAAAAACCCTGGTTGGCCGTCGTCGTCCATTATACCCACAATAAATAGCCACAACTAATAGCTGATGTTGATAATTGACTTTTTTTTCTTCTTATTTTGGTATAATATTATATCTATAAGAGGTCTGCCAATATTTGCGTGTAGTTTCATATTCTTTTTATATAGGTATGTTTATATAATGTATACAATGTGTTACAATACAGTGTAAACTGTATATAATAGTTTATAGTTGTATGTAGTTTTATACAGTTGTAAATAATAGTTGTATCACAAGAAGAAAAAGAAAAAAAAATAGTGATTTGTATTAGTCTTATACTCTTAATTATATATGTTTGTATTACTCCTAAATCAAATTTTACAAAGGTAAAGTATCTTTTTTTTTTTTTTTTCAATGCACCTAGACATTTTTAATATTAATTCGAATTGTACTCATCGCAACTTTGAACTACGATGGAAATATTTGGTTTAAGTTTCCAATTCTATACAGAAAAAAAAATAGAAATTTTAACTAACTCTAAAAATGTCCACGCCACTAATTTCCAAAATATCTATGACGGCTGAAACATTAAAAATTTGGTGGAATATTTAAAAAAAAAATTAGCAGTCTTAGCAAAATCCTACAAGTTGTATATATGTGTATACAGGGTGATTCATTAATGATTAGATCATGTATACATTATTTGAATAATTGTTACAACGTGAGGTTTTTGTATAATTTCGCTGATCAAAATTAGTTAAAAATTAAACAATAATTTTACAAAATGATTTTTTTATTTAAGTATAGTTTGTCGGATTCTCGTCTTGGCCGCAACTCGAAAACACGATTTTTTTACTTTAGAAAAAACAACACTTGTGTGATTTTTATGTGCGTTCCCGTTTCCACTGTTTGCACAAATGAAATATTATAGTAATAGTTTATATACATTTTTTTTTTTTTTTCACGTTCAAAAGCCTGTAAACGTTTTTTGGATAGCCATGTTGAGCTTGCGTTAATAATATGTATAGGTACCAATAACGTTGACAAATGCAGGGTCTATAAGGACTTACTTGAATCCTACTTCCATGTGCTACACTGTTTTTCTATTTTTTTTGCTTAACACTTGGCCAGTTTCTGACCCATAACCAGATTCAAACCAGCGACAAAGCCCAAAATTTGAGAATTTGTCTAATATTTTTTTCAGAAACCTAATGCAATTTAAAATATAAAATGTAAACATTTCAAAGCTTAAAAGTTCTTACGGAGAACCCAATTAGAATTTATGTAGAAAACCTTGTGAAATTATTAAGCAAAGTATTATTATGGCTCTGCATCAAAGATAAAATATAATAAAACTGCAATACCAACTTTTATAAAAAAAAATCAATAATTATACCTATAATGTCTAAATTTACAGAAAGGCTACTAATTTTTCAAGTTAAAATATTTAAACTACAAAAAAAGTGTTGAAATACCTTGTTTTTTTATATATATCTAGTTATTTTTGCCATAAAAAATCTCATGTACCTACTTAAATACAATAAAATACAAGAGACCATTAAACAAATATTAGCTTCCTAACTAGTTTATACTAGTTTACCTATACTTTGTTGTTCTATGAAATATCAATAAATACAATTTTTCTTTAATATATTTTTTGTAAATACTATCTATAAATAATCCGTGTTGTGTATGTTTAAATTCTGTTTTATTTTTTTATTCGTTAATTTCTTTAAATTTGTATTAATTAAGTACCTACCTAGTTAAATTAAATATTATAATTGAAATCATTTTGTAACAGTTTTATCTAATATATTTTTATAGGTATACAGGTAAGTATTTAGGAGAATCTGAAAAAGTGAAAACGCCATCACGATACTTTTGAAAAATAAATTATATACTTATTACAAAATATATGTTGTTAAGGGTTTTATTTGATTTTTATTGGTAATTTTTATAAATAGAGTTTTGATCTCCATTTTGTTTGACCAACGACTAGGTATTTTTGGAAAATTATTCTAAAATTTGATCTATCATATCAAATATCGGATGCTTTGATTGCTTACAAGCGGTTTGTTAACGAGAATTAAATTGATAAAGCGAGGCTTAAACAATAATAAATATCAATATACTACAATAATATTTATCTTTCTTATGTAGACTCATTCAACTACCTTAAATACTTCTTTAAAGTATTTCAATACATGGTTTATAAAGGTTTTGAATTATTTTTCATAGTTGATAATAATTATTCGAGTACTTTATTTTCTGTCGGCGCAATATCACTCTACAAACAAGCAGATATATTATTTTGTACTAGTTTAAGGAAACCTATTTTTTTAAACGTATTTCGTTTGGCTGTTTGTACTATTGTATGTTTGAACTATTTTACTTGCACGGTAGAACAACAGACAACTGTGTGTTTACTTAAGTCATAGCTAATACATACTATGATGTAGATACATAGGTATTTTATCATTGTTGGAGCGCTTATATTGATCCGATTTGTTATTATACCTCTCAAGACATGTTGTAAATACATATTGGAATTAACATTTTAACGCATAATTAAAAGAATACAACCAGCATTTTTAGTTTTAGCCAAAATCCCTGTGTTGCACAGGAAGACAAGTTGTCTAGTTTTTAACTTTTTTTTTACTTTCAATTTTACTCGGCCAAATTAAAACCTAAAACTGGTACTTGAGTACTAAAAACTCGATAAGATCAAATTAACCCAACACTATAATATGACAGTAAAAGGCAATACGTTGTTGTTGTTGTGAAATATAAAATCACAAAAATCTGATCTTGTCTTTATAATGTTATTACCACACACAGCTGTCTACAACCGATGTCTACAACAGCTGTCTACAACCGATTCCATTATTAGAAGAGTTTTAGTCATACCTATCGTTTTGTATTTAAAAAACTATTAATAAATTAATCTTAAACTTATTCAATCTTGTTAATATTTTATTGTACATTATTTTAAAAATTATATAGGGATATTTCACAAATTTACATAGCTCGAAGCCGACTAAAAAATACTTCATCGTTGTCAATGATGATATTTAACACAATCTATTGATATAATAGAAGCCCAGTGACACTCAGATTATTTAAATATGTTTTAAGACTTTATTGGAGGCCAAAAACAGTATTACTAAAGTTTTTTGTGATTGGCTATCAAACAACTTGATGCAACCTATTAAAAGTGAAAACATAAATTTGAAGTTTCATAAATCAATGATTTATGATCTGTAAGACACATAGTGTGCCTTTTTGGACCAAAGAAAAAACAAATATTGTACCATTAAAATTTGTTTAGCCTTAATGTGAAACTGAGAATTTAACCTAGCAAAATCAGTCATATCAATTTTAAAATATTGTAACATGTTTTTTTTTTCTCTTTGAGTTTAGAACAATAATAACTATTTAAACATTGGACTGATTAATGTAGCTAGATTAGTTCCAAACTAGTGCACTTTTTTTTTTAGATAGTACTACCAACATATATTAAAAACAAAGAAATATCATTAACTCTTTCCCCTACAAGAAGGTAAAAACTTGTTATACTTATTAAGCTTCAGTGATATTTTTAAGACTAAAGGTGGGTTTAAGGTGACAATAACCACTTTAATTAACTAACAAAATACTACAAATTAAACTTGTATAATGGTTATAATATATATAAATTCATTGCACAGTATAAACCAATTTTGATTTTCTTTTAAAAAAAATTGTTTTCTAATTTCGTAGTATATTATATTTACATTTTTATAAATTGTCAATATTAAAAGTTTTCAATATCGCATCATTAAGAAAAATTAGGTGATCATAGTCTTTTAGTATACTCGATGACTCAATCACTTGCCATATGTTTTTTTCGGCAATAAATCTTTCACAAAAGACACCCTCGGGTCCTTCATCATTTTTTGTGTACCACCAGGCGGTATTTTTCCCCACAACAAAAAAATCGTTTTCAATTGTAACAGCATCTGCATTTTAAAATAAAGTTTTATAAATAAATCATATGAACGAGATAAATCTTTTATAATATAAACTATTAGTTTCATCAATTTCCAAACTATTCATGTTGTCATTAATAATAATACTGACGGTTACAACCAATTGCCGGGTCAAAGCGATAACCATTGTACTACTGTGTAGTCACAAGAGTAAAACGTTGACAATCGCTCTAAATCCTCAATAAGTTTGAATCGTTTAAGAGCTAAAGACAACATTCATAGATCCGAATTTGATGGAAGTAATAAATTCTATACTCAGATAATACTTGTTAAACATAATTATTATTATTCACTCACTTGCAAACAGTTTTGGGTTGATCATTTCAGGAAGCGTATCCCATTTTAAATCATTTAAGTTTATTTTGTAAGCTCGATTGGCTCTTAAATAAGGAGGACCGCCAAATACATATAAATCATTTCCTCTACTTGTAATTCCCATTAAGGCAGTAGGTGTTGGCATAGCATTACACTGTGTCCAACATCTTTCTTGTAGATTGTAGCAGTCTGCATTACTAAACAGCTTATCTTTTTCATCAACTCCACCAAACTTTATAGAACAAAAAATCAATTGCGTTAAATATACAACGTAAAATCATTTACAATTTTTTTTATTTTGGTTTGACAGCTTTGGTTATTGGTTTGATGAATAAAGTTTTATTTGTGTAGCAAAAAATATAAATAAATATAAATCATTTCCTCTGCTTGTTATGTCTATTAAAGCAGTAGCTGCTGGTATCGTATTTAACAGTCGACCGGTTTTCTTGTACATCATAATACTTTATACTACATAATGATACATTGATATCTCCAAGTCTACCAAACTTCATAGAATAAAAAGTCAATTACATGAAATATACAACTTTAAAACTACACTTTTCTTTAGGTTTTGTTGCCGTGGTTATTAGCTTGTAAGGTTGTTGAATAGTTTTGTTTGGGTAAATAGGATACTGGTACTATTGGGGACGATTAAAACCTCGGGTTTAGTTTAATTTACTAATATAAGATCAATTTAGCCTAACATCGAGTTCATATTTTATCTAAGTAAAACACTGTGCCACTACTTGTCAATACAACATAAATTATGTATACAAAAAATTAACTAATTAAAATGTTCACTTTCCAAAATCTACAGATTAAACTATTAGTTTCTATACATGTATATAACAAATTAAATACAATTTCATACTCACAACATACAAACAATTGTTGTGAATTATTGAACTGCATAATTTCCGAGCGGTGGTCATTGGCATATCTATTTCGGCCCATTCCTTCGAATATGTGTCATAATATTCTATTGAACTCATTGAATGTATTATCTTATCACGACCTCCAACCTATAATAATATATAACATTTATTGATTGTGTCAGATATTGTATAGTTAAACGATTAACCTAAATTAATACACACCACATATATATATTTTCCTTGAGCGCAAACAGAAAAATAATATCGTAATCTTCGCAAAGGCGTTGTAGGTGTCCACATTTTTGAAGTAGAAGTAAGATCTAGTTCATCAACACAATTATTCCATTTTCCTAATTCATTAAAACCTCCAATTGCAAGTAGTATTCCAGTTTCCGAAACGACCAAAGTTGCACCTCGACGGGGTGGACAAAAAAATGAATAATTACATGATTTCCAATTTAAATCATTTTCGCGCGTCAGATCCATATACATTACATAAGAATCAACTCCGCTGGATTGACCTTTAATAGCGAAAATAATCTAAAAACAAATTATAAAATGGTTGAAACATCTGTGTTTGATTTCATAATGAATGTATTTTTACAATATTAAAAAACGTAACGATGATTAATATAAAATATTTTTAGTAGTATGCTACAAATAAGTTGTAAATAAATTATTTATTTACATTTGGTTTATACAAATGAGGTGTCCTCTTTGTTGCTTTTATAATGTTTTCATCAACATCGACAGATAAATAATTTTTCATGATATCCAACGAACCTAGAAACGTTAAGCTAATATTAAAAAAAAACCCATTATGGTACACTAATATGCAATATGAAATTGAATGTGAACTGTAAAAAGATCCATTATTTATATGTTATATATTGTAGTGGGATCGGTTTAAATACTCACAGTCATGTTGGCTTTTCATTAATGGTTCTTCACACATACGTAGTAATGCTTTTTTCGAAATAAAAGGTAACCTCAAATAATTCAGTAAATGTGATAAATATTTACTTCGTTCCTCTACATCATATTTTATCCATTTAATAATGAAATCGAATATCTATAATAAATATTAAAACAGCATAAGGAAAATTATGAACATTTTATTAGATCAATTTAATGAGAACAGACAAAAGCATACCTACTGAATAAACTAATAAGAACTAAAAATAAAGTTCTCATTTCTTTTAACTTTGTAATTAATAATTCAGATTTTTAACATTTAAGAATAATAAACAATATTTTTTGTAGAGCGTTAATAAATCATAAATGCAATTAAATGAGTAAATGTTAATCAAATTGAATTGTGATTTTATTAAAAATACCTTTTCTTCAAATTCAACCAGCAAACGATCGTTTTTTATAATCTCAACAACATCATCAAAACTGAATTCATATAGTTCGTTTAAAAGTGTTTCAGTTTCCATAATTGTTCTATGAATAAACATATACATACATAATATTAATATAGATGTCGCATACTCTGTCCCAAATAAGAAAAGCAGAAACACATGATAAAATTCGATGAGCAAATCGCTGCCTTTGTTATTTGGGACAGAGTAAAGTATATATCTAGATTTTCTCAAACGTATGGCAATCTTTAACACTTACTTGAAATTTTCTAAACAATACAAGAAACAATAGTTGTACAGCCCTTTTAGTGATGTAGGTTCAGCAAATCTCATAAAATTAAGACAATTAGTGACATTTATATTTTTTTTAACATAATCGTAACATAAATCCTTAGCATAGTTAAATTGAAAGTAGTCAGAAGCTCTTAATAGTTTCTAAAATACAAATAAAATTTAAAATTACTACAATAAATGTGTTTACCGATAATAGTTTAGTATCTGTTTTGTATATTACTTCTATATTATTTTCCCGGATATCCATCTGAAATGTATATGCACAAGTAACAATTGACTTCAAAATATCAGACTCGATGTCTTTAATATGCATACTAATTTCTTTGGTCTCTTTAAAGCCACCATCGAACATTTTTAATAGCATAGGGCTAGCAGATGCCAAGATTGCTTTATGTGCTGTAATTTGAACGCCATCATCACATAACAACAGAACATCGCATAAGGTTTGCTCTCTGTAAAAAATGTATCTTTATTATTTATTTATTTATTATTATGAGTACGGGCTAAAAGCCCAATGGTTACATTACAAAAATATAATCCATGTGTAAATAAAGTTTCAACATATAAATGATTACAAATAAAGGACATATTTAAAACAAATTAAAACAGTATGTATAATATTACTAAGAAGGAAAAGATGGATCTAAATTGGCAATCTTGCAGTAGGTTCATTAGAAGCATAGTTAGTGGTAAATAAAGGAGTATAGAATTGATAGTTATTACGAAATGAAAAAGTAGGAACTTTAAAATGAATGCAACTAAGGAGAAAAAGTGAGTCAATTTTACCTGAGAGCAACTTATTATGAAAGTTTATATTTGCTTGGACTCTTCTATCGGCTAGTGAGGACAATTGCAAAGTAAAAAGAACCTGAGAATAATCACGAGGCATGTGATCAATTTGTAATGTACACCCGGCAGCAAAATATAAAAATTTACGCTAAACGCGCTCTAAAAGATAACTAAGATGTATAGTGTTTGGGTCCCAAAAGACCGATGCATATTCCAGAACAGAACGTACTTAATCGGCGTAACTAATATAAACTGAGCATAAACGCATTTAACATAGCCATGAATATTTAGCGCCCTTACAACAAGACGATTCTACATGCGAATAAAATGTTAATTTCGAATCATAAATTATGCCTAAGTCAGTGACTGTGTTTCCTGCACGACCGAGCTTAGAACCAATGATATTATAATTAAAGACAATTGGATGACGAGATCTATAGAACGACATAATACTGCATTTATTAATATTGAATGACAATCCCATGGTCAAAGCCCATAGCATATTTGCGTCAAGATCACCATTCAATCGTTTGTAATCATCAATAGAACTGACTCTTACAAAAAATTTTAAGTCGTCAGCGAGAAAATAGAAAATCGCATCCACGTACAACATCCTTAATACCGTTAATAAAAAATGAAAAAGCATAGGAGAGAGGTGGGCCTCTTGCGGAACACCAGAAGGGACGTCGATAACACTAGATCGTATTCCATGAACTTTTACAAATTACTTAACCAAAAAAATAACGGCTCACCAAAGCCAGTGTTGTTCAAGACGCATAGTAGGGCTTTATGATTCACCGTATCAAAGGCGTTCGAGAAGTCTAGATAATTTACACCTACCTGAGCAGGGTCAGAAAATGCATCATTACATATTACGAAAAAACCATGTTGTTCGTCACATAGGATGTTATTAACAGACGGTTGAGTAAAACGCAAGACAATGGACTCAAAAAGCCTGGAAAAGTGACTCATTACAGAAATTGGACGATATTCGATAAGTCGGTTACGTTGCCTGACATGATTATCAATAAATATATAATAAAATACATATATAATGTTATTGTAATGGCTTAAGACATAAAATGTTATTAAGTTAATATATTAAAAACTACAAATAATGTACTTCATTGATGGCTATGAGATATTGACAAGTTTATTTGTTTTAACAAAAATGTTCTAAATAATAAAAGTTTATATAAAAAAATAGAGTTTCAACACATTAAGGGTGAATTTTTAGTTTCAACGTTGTATACTAGCACTTTAAAAAAAATCAGTTCACTATAACAATTTTACAAAATATAGTAATAATTACTCCTTAATTATTTAAAAAAAAGATCTTAAACACACTTAAAATAATAAAATCATTTTAGAAATTAGCTTATAATTATGTCATAAATCATAACTTACTTGAAAAACTCGTATAAGATTCGAAAATGTTCATAAATAATGCTCAAAGTTTTGATTGGTATGTTATATGGAGAGTACTTTGGAAACATGTTGATTAATTTTGTTTGTCTACAAGTAAAACATATTTTGCTTTGTAATAAATTTCAAACTAAAGGCAATTGGAAAATGATATATTCTGTCTCTGTCCATCTAACACACAATATTCATAGAAATTTAGACGTATTTTTGTTCCTACGGTACACGGTTCGATGTCATATCCACTGATGTGATAAGGAATGTGTAAACAATATCTTCATTATCTAAGAGTCAAACTTCCAACTTTTTTCATTTTTTCTAAAGTGCGATTCTTTGGTGATATTTTATATTATAATCGAATACTGGACACTTTTAAGTTGAAAATTATATAAAGTGATCTTGTCGTCCCTGGAAAAGATTTCTAGGTATTCAAATATGTTTTAAGGTTCCCCATCACATCAGCAGATTGATCAGTACGCAGGAACACAAATACACCTAAATTCCAATACTGAAAGTTAGACGGAATGAGAAAGAAAATATCTCATCATAATCAAAAATACAAACTATTTAACAAAATAATAACACGCCTTATAGTTTAAACTAGACACGATTAAGGGTTGACAGAGCAAAAGAACAGAACACAAAATAAGCCGGTCGATTAAATTTTTTAAAGGTAGAAATTTCAAATTAGAACGAACAAGACTCGTTACTGATTTTACAATACCTCGTACCTATCTAACATTTTTGTAATTGTTCAGTATCATTTTGAGCCTCACAAAGTTTTTATTCTCCTTGAAAATCTGAATTCAATGATAACAAAATGTCAATATCGAAAAAATTGGGTTGGTACAACTTTTACCAACATCCAATTTTTCCAGTAAATATTTTTCCTGTAGGAAAAATGGCGATTGGAAAAAGTGGATGTATGATAAACTATCAGAAAGAAATGTTTACACATTTGGAAAAAGTGTACTAGAAACAATTATTATTTTTACCCTATGACATTATTTTTATTTCCTACAATGATTATGCCTCTAGAAAAAAAATGACATTGGTAAGAACCTGTTTTTCCAACAAACAATTTATTCCAACTGGTAAAACTAAATCTTGTAAAAAACTGACTGTTAGTATTTTTAATTCATTCAATTCAGGTCCACATTTTCCAACAAACCTAGGTATCTGAAAGACTAGAACCAATAAAAATGGAATCGTATAATTGTTTTACAACTGTACCCTTAAGTTATGTAAGAAAGAAGTAAAATTGAATAAATTATTTTATTTGTTCAAATTAAAAAAAATTAGCTTTTCCTCGACAATGAGATTGAGAAAAATTCACACATCTTAGTTGTCTTTTAACAAAATATATATACATATATATTTAATACTTTTTTTCTCCTACATGTTTAGTAGTTTTTTTATGTAATTTAACCTTTGATTTGCTGTAGTATTTTGACTGTAATAGCGATAACCTACACTGTCAACGTAAATGTTGGAATTTGCATGATTTCCAAGGCGAATAAAAACATGTCTGGCGTCGGGCAATTGAGGATGTTCTCTAAGAGCTATAGAAATAATTTTTGTACTTAAGAAAAAAATAATACTTAATTTCAATGTGTACTTTTATTCATACAATAGTGTTCATCTTAATTCTAAATCTCAAATAAATTAACAACCGAAAATACAAAAATATGTATTATTAAGATTTACAATAGTTGTTAAACTAAATTCGGAAAATACTGACAATTGCCCTACAATTTAAATTACTCAAGTAAAAAAAATTACTGGACCCAAAATATAATAATTATTAAAATCGTCTTAACGTTGGAGACTTCAAATAATTTAACTAGGTCGATGATAAAATATGTTGTTTTTGTTTTCGAATATTTTCTTATTTAGGACATTGGTGTACGACTGTAACTGTTTGAACAAGCATACAAAACAATAAATCAAAACAAGTATTCTTCTTATTTTAGATAGATATTACAACTTAAAACGTGTTTTCAATACGTTTTCCCGTTCAAGAAAGTGAATATACAATTATTTAGAAAAGTAATGATAAAGGTTTTAAATTTTGAATGTAAAAATAATTATAGTTATGTTATTTATGACCGGATGTAGATAATTTTAGGTGTTCTAAGACCAATTGTAGGAATATGGATAAAAATAAAATACAATACAATAAAAAAAAATGTATGTGTTCATGATAATTTATGGTTTTTTTTAATATTATATAATAATTAATATATTATAAATATATTTACAATTTTCTCATTTCTGTAAATTCTACCCAAAGGTATACAACACATTTGTGTCTATATCTAGTATGTTTAACATAATAAAACTCCAAGGCCTTTTATATACTAACGCATTTAATAGTACGAAAAATCTGAGTACATCTACTGTTAAGGAGCTTTTTTATGTGTATTATTATGACTGGTATGTTTTTTCATACCGATACGAATTTAAGGTAAATAAAACGCAAAAAAAAATATTACTAACCGTGTGTTGTTTACGCAGTTATGACATACAACGAAAATTCAGAGCATAAAATAAAACCTTACATATTATAGTTTGGAAACCCAAATTTGGGCCTCAAAGAGCAATCCAGTGATCACAGATAAAAAAACAAATATCGAAAAGAGCATTTTACCTAATGACAATTATGTGCTTAAAAATGAATTTTTAGTTTAAGGGTGGATATGAATTGGGTTACATTTTTGTTTTGAATGTATTCACTTTTTGTTATCTCTGGTGAAACCAGTTGACATTGACTATTTAATAAAAAAAATGTCAATTAAACAATTTTTAGTCGTTAGATAAAACCACTCTTCTATATTGGAATGTATAATGTAAGAGTGACTAAAGAATTAAATGGTTCATTTATGGTTATATATCAACGAAAAACAAGTGAATGCTCCCAGTTTGTTAGTTGTACATTCACTGATTACATACTTAACATACTACAATACATTTAAATGACAATTACACTAGAGGCTTTACACATTAAAGGACTTGCTTCCACAATGAGTTGAACAAAAGTAAAAAAGAAAGCAGAGTTTAAACATTATGTTATCTTTATAAATTGGTCACAAATATAAAACAGGTTCTCTCTAAATAAATGCATTGTTATAATAACCCATTTATCGTTGTTAACAATATAATGTAATATTTTTATTGTCTATTTATTCACTCACACATGGCAACCTGGAAATTGACTTGGGTAAAAATGTAATTTTCCCCTTTTTTTTTGGGGGGGGGGGGGGGTTCCTTAGTATAAAAGAAGTTTGATCATAGTTTTTTTTTTTGAGAAATTTGTATATGTTATAGTTCCGTTCTAGATATATACCTTCGTCTAATTTTCCCGACCTAAATCCCTAAAACTTTGCTTCGAAAAGTGAAATAAAGAAAAAAATTCTATCTTTTCTATTGGAAACTGTTTAAATTCCACACAAATTTGGAATTAGTATGACTTGTTAGTTGTTAAATCTTAAAATTGCGCCAAACAAGTTTTTAAAACATTCAGCCTTCTTCCCAAGGGGAGGGAGGGTTGTTGAAATTTCGGGGTTTTCCGTGTGTAATTTTTTTGGTAAAACTTTTTACCAAATTTAAAAGTGCTAAGGCTATAATAAATGGAAAATATTTTCGAAAAGCATACAATTTCGGCACTTGTGCACACATAAGAATGTTTTAGTCATTTTTTTTTGCCATCTTTTAAGCAGAAAAATACATCGATCGAACGACAAAAACAATACATAAAATTGTCGATATTCAAATTACAAATTTTTTTCTGTGCACATCTTAGTGTTACTTTTTACGTCGAAAATTCGAAGGTCATAGGAAATAGTCAAAACTTGAAAATGTTATCTAATCGGATATACTATTTATGATATCGATTTGCGCACATAAATATTTTATTCATTTACAACTACTGCCTTTAATAGTCCATAAAACAAATAGTGCTTAAACTTAAGTATGGCTATCGACGGATGTTCTCAAAGGGAAAATCCATTACAAAATGGTGAAAAATTTAAATCACGTTGTATAAAAACAATATAGAATAGTTCACGATAATATGATCACCCTGTATTCAATTAATACAAATTATATTTATAAATCGCTTCGTCATTATCACGTATTATAGATTACATTTTGATAATTGACCGCTGACTTATATTATATTAAATTAACTTTTAAGCAAAGCATATTTGTTTTGAAAAATAGTGGGATTAATTAATCTTTTTTCTTTATTTGTAGTTTTAGGAATTAAAATTATACTTAAAGTACAGGTTACCAAGGTATACTGTATTGTGTAAATCTATTTGATCTATGAAAATTGCTATTATTTGTATTCGAACAGAAAAATAATATGCAGGGTCAAAAAATACTGTGGAATATTGAAAACAACAATTCGCATAAATTTATAAAAACTAATAGTACTGACCTATATGGAACAAAAAAAATAAGTTGTTTTTCAGTGAAATTTTTTCGTATATAAAAAAAATGTGTACAAATAAGAACAGTTACAACGACAACAACGACAGAAAACACTGTATCAATTTCATTTTAACAGCAAATGAATAGATTTTCAATTGATAAAATATCAGTTTATATTTTACATTGCCAATTGAGAACAATTAAAAAAAACAACCGGCTAGGTTAGGTTAGGGGCTGATGCAATGGTTGAAATTATTATTATACTTGCTGGAATTCGAAAAAGAACATACTATGCAAAGGCCTTTTTACGATATTCATATGTATATGTATATATGAGAGATTTTATACTGAAGATTACAAAAATATTGACACATTTCCTAGCGTAGGTACAACACATTGTATAACTGTTTATATAGCGGTTAACGTCGTGTTGGTAAATTGTTCAATCGACTCATAATCGGTTTTGAAAACTATTACTGTGAAATTCAAATACAAATTGGGTTCAAAACCCGTGTTTGAAATCATAGGTTAGATACATCATCGAAGGCGATTTTCCCCATACAAATCCATAAGTGTAATTAAAGAAGGGAGAGCCCATCTCTAGAATACCCTGCCTAGTAGCTCAAAGGCTACATAAAAAAATGTAACGTATTTGCTATAAATTTCAAAGTAAATTTAAAAAAAAAACGTTTTACTTTTTAATGGTTTTCGTATGTCACAAAAAAGGGTTATGATACAAAAGATATTTTGAAGTGAAAATAATACACTGACAATCTTGATTGAACGTGTATTGGGAACAGCATGCTTACTTATTAGACATTGTAGAAAATACACTTAAGTCAGAATTTATTGTAGCCAAATACTGTTGTAAAGTTTATAAGTTTAATTCTAGTGAATATGTTATGACCCATCTTAAGGGGGTTAAAGTGGCCTGTTTGTTGGACATTGTAGGCCAGCTCAGAATGGTTAGATATCAATTATGTAAACATATTTGACTAAATCGACCACTTTTCTAGGTTAATGTAGAAATCGACTAATGATATTTCATTTAAAATTGTGTTTAAGTCCTATTTTATTTGCTCAAATTTGTCTTTTCGAAGTAAATGAATCAGTTATTCAACAATCGACTTCCATAATAACATGCATTCCTGCATTCAATCCCTTTAATGTAATCGTTGAGCAATTTATTTATTTATTTATTGTATTTTTAAACGAGTAAATACCCAATTACTCATAAGACAAGATTAGGAACATAAACATAGAACTTACACAAAAATAAAAGTAT